CTGCCTTGATTTTTCTTCTTGTTTCGGGTCTTATGGTTTTTCATTTATGGTGCTTGTGTTTTGCCTTCTTTGTCCATATATATAATATCTACAGCGTAGTTATTATCTATGAGCGTATGGTTAGCGGAACTGACCCCAACCGAGTAAGGATTTGTGAAGATTGGTTGTCTTGTTTATGTGTGGCTGGCTTTGGTTGCGTTGAAAATAGCAGGTCGTTTGTTCCTCCCCACACACATTGCTCTTGTCACCACATCTTTAGTTCCCTTTTTTCTCGTTCACCCGTCGCCACTCCTTGAGGTTTAATTGCATCTTCGCTACAATTAAATGACCACACTTACACACACCCTTCATTAGACCATGTCCCTTCCGTATGCCTTGTGCCCTCCTATACCGACGCACCCGCGTCCAGCTCATCTTTGTCTCTGCTTTGTCATATCTTTTACTGTAGTTTTATGTTCATGCTTCCGCTTTCTGGCACCTCTCTTTCTCTCTGCCCATTATAGTCCAGTAGACACAACTCCTTATCCCTTATCGGCACCCCATATTGTCCCAGCATTAATATAGCCGCTGTACTCACGTAAGCTATAGATCCTATCCCGAGATCTTCTGAAGCAGAAGTGCCGTTTATGGCCACCCTTACAGTGGGGGCAAGAATCCAAGTGTCCGATACCGCCCTGAGACCCAGGAGACAACTTGATTCTGTTCCTCCTAACACTACATCTAATGCCTTCCTTTTTTTTTATCTTGAACCCGCTCCGTGTCTTCACAAGTCCCAACATAAGCATGCCTGCGCGAGTTCATTCAAGATTCTGAGGGGTTTATTCCTGAACACACACAGCAACCCTCCATCCATGCCTCGCCTTCTCAGGATCAACCCGCCCAAATCCTTGCCTTTGAACACAATCTCCCCGTGTTAGCACAACTTCACAACAACTGCCAAATCCCTACCGAACATACCCGTATGTATTCGCTTGCCGACCTCAATCCCTGGCTATTTAGCCCCCCCTACGCTTTTCCCGTCCCTGATACCCACATCACCCTTTTTCTTTGGGCGCTTCAATATCTTCTTGTTTTAGTCTTGTCCAGTTTCTCGTAAGGCTGTTTCTCTGGGGAAACGAGATCAGCAGATTTGATCCACATAATCATATATCGACCATTATTTCCCTCCCTCGACTCCTTTTCCCCCTCCCTCTCAGAAATAGCACTTCTAAGCACAGACCCACCTGATTATACTTTTGATTCTCGCATATAAAATTTGCCACTCCCCTTCTTCCTCCCTCTTTCTAACCACTTCGCCATCTCTATTTTTTCCAAATCCAGACACGTCCCTTTCATCATAGAGAATGATAATCCTTGCGCCCATTACTAGTCCGCCTAGTGTATAAAACCACCAAACTCTTATCAGCCACTTAGTGCCCGGATCCATATGTATGAATATAGCAAATGACCCTTAAAGAGAAGATCTCTTGAAGCCCAGAACGTGCCCGTTTCATCGGTCATTGGGGAGCAACCCAGGCCCCGGAACGGTAAATAGGGAGAGAAGCTTGTCGTCGCAACTATCAAAGACTGAGTGCCCATCCCAGCCCCGGCCGCACGCGAGGGTTTAAGCCCCATTACAAGGTCAACGCCGCCCCAAGATTAAGCTTGAAAAAGGTGGACCAGCCCCAAAAGTTCCAAACTAGCGAAAGTCAATGGAATAGGCATCATGGATTAGGCTCGCCTAAATGCTCCGACTGGGGCTTTAATTCTTGTTTTTGTTGTCCCATTGTAGGGCTGTTTCCTGGAAAGCCGAGATCCAGGCGCGATTTGATCCACTAATCATAATAATATGATCTTGCCTGGATCAGAAATGATTAGTGCGCATTCATATATTTGATCGCTTAAACATGTCAACAAAAGAAAAAAAGGAAGATAAACACTTTGTAACCCAACGACCCTGTGGCCCAATAAATTAAATAAAAAAAGCAAAATACCAATTCTTAAACACAAACATGTAACCAGGGGTAAAGAACTGATTAATACAGAAGGGGGCTAACAGGAAGTGAGCTTACAGGTTAAGGTGCGTGGCTTGACAGGTCAGCAATTTACAATATTAAGCACACGGTTTTAACTTTTGGGAGCTACTGGTTTACATTTTGTTTTTAAATTGTAAATTGTTCTTTTTTTATTTAAGATTTACTGGCCCACAGTGTGGTTTACAAAGTGTATCTTCTTTTTTCCTTTTTTACATTTTAGGCGATCAAAATATAGAATCGACTAATCATTTCCTGGATCCAGGCAAATATACTGTATACCATTACTGTGATGCCAACTGGTGAGTCTCGTTTTCCCACAGAAAAGAGCCTACAACTGGACAACAAAACAAGATCTAACGCCCACACAGTCGCGCACTGTTAGCGAGTAATTCCATTGTGATGGCTGCCATCCACTTTGACTGTTGCTTAAAGCTCCGGCCTTTGGTGCCTTTTCACAGGCAATCTGGCGGGGATTGACCTGTCGACTGGCTAACTCGCTGGCCCAGGCCCCGATGGCACTCAGTTGATCAGTTTGGGACAGAAAGTTTTCATTTAACGTCTTCCGCTGTCGCTTCCATTGAATAAACCGCACTTCTGTTTCAGAGATCTCCAGGGCTCATGCGCCTTCCAACCATATGGGCACCACCAGGGAACGGTAGGACAGTTG